GAGCATTCGCCCCTGGAGCAGAGCCCAGAGTTCAGGTTCTAGAAGGGAGAGGTTGCATACTTCTTTCCTATAGTGGGAGGAGGGCGACCCCAGAGGGGGAGGTTGAGAAGAAAAACCTGCAGGTAGGTGCGTCCTCCAGCCAGGTGAGGTTTAGTAGAAAAGACAGACAAGCTGAGTGCTTGAGAATTATCCACTTAAAACTCTGTATGTGGGAATGTTATTCAGCCCTAAAAAGGAATCAAGTTCTGATACAAGCTGCAATGTTATCCTGAGTGAAAGAAACCAGACAGCAAAGGACAAATAGTGTATGGTTCTACTTATATGAAATATCTACAAGAGGCAAATTCATAGAGACAGAAGAATAGAGGTTACTAGGAGCTGGGGGAGGGAGAAGGAGATGGGGAGTTAGTGTTTAATGGGGACAGAGTTTTGGTTTGGGGTGAAATTTGGAAAATAGAGGTGATGGTTGCGTAACGCTACTTAATTACACTGAATTACGGTTAAAATGGCACATGGTAAGTGATATATATTTTACTACCACCACACATGAAAAAAAGGGTATTCATGAACTGCAGAGGCATGCAGATCTCAGAAAGGAAGAAGTGTTTATAATATCGAACAACCAGTACAGGGCTTAAACCCTCATAGAGGGGCCAACCACTGAATATATCCTCCGACAGCCCATGTCAACACCCCTGCTCCCAGCCTACCTGGGGGCAGCTGGGGCTTAGCCAAGCCCAGTGACGAGGCTGGGGCAGTGGAAGGAGGACCCTCCACTGGTACCCTGGGTTCTGGGGCCGGCAGGTTCACAGAGCGGGGCAGGGTGGGTGCAGGAGTGTGGCTCGATGTGGCTGCTGGGCCCTTCCCCACAGCAACGGGTGGTGGGATGTCCTCTTCGTCAATGGCAATGCCCTTCCGGACGGAGGCCAGCAGGTTTTCCAGTGTCTGGAAGAAGGTGTAAATGTGGGTTTGGGAAGAGCACAGAGCTGAGTGCAGGGACGGTGGTGGGGTCCCAGCACCCTCCTGTCTGCCCACTCACCTTAAGTCCCCGCTCATAGCGCCGCACCTTGGCACTGTCTCCGGCTTGCCTAGCACTTTCAATCGCTGTCTGGTAGAGGGCCAGCCTCTCCTGCAAGGTGGCCTCCAACCCTGGGCTGGGGGCTGTGGCTTTTGGCTGTGGGAGGGGCCAGGGGCATGGCATGGGTGGGTGGTGACCCAACTCGGCCCACCCTGAAGGTGTCCTTGGTTGAGGGCCTACTGCACACCAGCCATGTCACCCCTGGGCCAGTTGCCCCCACCTGGGAGGGACAGAAATGATCATACCCTTTCCTAGTATAGAGAACTGGGGCTCAGAAGTGTCCCATCATCTGCCTGAGGTCACATGGCTAAGAGGTTCAAGGGAAAGCCTTGAACCCCGGCTATAGGGAACAGAGTTGTCAGAGATATACCTGGGCCACAGGAGGGTGGGACTCCGAAGTCTTCTGCTCCTCCCCAAGGACCTCATTAAGTTCCGCCTGCAGGGACACAAGGCCAGAGGCTTGCATGGGGGCCCAATGGATGGGGCAACAATGGGAGGAACCCTCCTGCCCCACTCTGGACACTCACCAGCAGGTCATCATCAGCTTCCACATCCTCCTCGTCTGTCACCTCCTCCTCCTCATCATCTGGGTCTCTCATGCACAAGCTGGCCATCTTCTCAATGGCCTCCATGGGCAAGGGACCTGGCAGCAGGGGGAGGCACCAGGTGGACCGGGATCCTTCAAGAGTCCCCAGTCTCCCATCCCAGTCACCCACGGCCCCGGAGAATAGGGTAGCAGGCAATGGGGCAGCATGTCTCCCTCCTGGCACTTCCATGGCACCCACTGCTCTAGATCCAGCCGGCACAATCCCGCTCCCCAGAGACCTCACTGGCCTTATCCCTTCCTTATTAAGCCTGAGTTCAAACTCTGGCTCTGGAACTTTCTCACTGTGGGACACTGGGCAAGTTGGGTGACTCAAACTTTTTGTGGCTCTGTGTATGTCCAAGAATTAGCCAGTAGATGAATTCACAATTACAGAATTTATGATAATGAGGATCAATTGTATTAGCTAAAAAGTGTAAAGGCTATGTCTGCTGTCTGGGCTCCAGCCCCACTGGACCACTTTAGAATCCTCTGCCCAATGCCATCTCCCCCAGGGCATTTGCATGTGCTGTGGCCCCTCCCAGAAGTGCTCCCCACCTCTTCAGGTGGCCCTCCCCATTATGCGTGCCTCCTCCAAGAATCCCCTCCCAGCTCATAGGTGTCTTCCAATGCTCTGTGCTTCCCCCATCGCAGCCCCGACCACAGGACAGTGGGTTGGACGGCTCACCAGGACCTGTGTTAAGTGCTTTAAGAACACTAGATGATTAATTCCTGTAAGTGAGGTTTATTCCCATTTTATAAATGGGAAAACTGAGGCCCACACAGGTGCTGGGACTCATGAAGTCACAGCCAGTAAGTGGCTGAGCTGGGATTGAACCCTCACTCTGGGTACAGAGTTGGTAGCTTAACCTTTAACCCAGACCTGTGGGTTTCAGGAGGGCAGGGACCTACTCTGTCTCCTTTCCCCCGTCTTCCCAGCACCCAGCTCTGAGCCTGGCCCACAGTGGAGCTCGGTAAATGTTCCAGGGATGGACTGAGAGCCTCACCTTTGCCTCGGAGCTTCTCCAGGGTTTGAGGCTGGCCCCCAACCAAAGCCAAGAACTCAGCCTCCAGTTCCTCATGGTTAACTCCATCCTCAGGGATCATCAGGCCATCCGGGGAGAGATCAACCAGCAGACCCAGCTGTGGGAACAGAAAAGAGTCCAGTCAGACCTTGGGATGCACCACACCTAGCCATGATTGACCCAGGGTCCCCTTGGGAGGAAGGGAGCCCAGGCCTTGTGGCAAAAGCCATTTCCCTGGGGAGTGTCAGAAGTCTGGAACAGGCCCAGAATGCAACAGGTGTCTCAAGATGGCCAGGTCCCCTGGCATAGATCAACATGGGGCAAAGGGCACGCGGAGAGACCCAGTTCCCTGCTCCGAGTCCACACCCATGATTCGCTGCTTGCAGAAATCAGTAGGGAAAACAGGCCTCACACCCTGCCCAAAGCACAGCCATTCTGCACACCTGGGCTTTTCCTTCCAGCATCCTCAGCAGAGGGGGTCATGCAGGAAGCCCTGCCCTAGCCTGTTTGGCTCAGTGGCTAGAGCATCGGCCTGCGGACCGAAAGGTCCCGGGTTCGATTTTGGTCAAGGGCACATACCTCGGTTGCAGGCTCCTCCCTACTCGGGCCCTGGTAGGGGCTCGTGCAGGAGGCAACCAATTGATGTGTTTCTCTCACATTGATATTTCTCTCTGTCTTTCCCTCTCTCTTTCACTCTCTCTAAAAATCAGTGGAAAAATACCCTCAGATGAGGATTAAAAAAAATAAAATAAAAAGTAAATAGAAGCCCTGACAGTAACATGACTTTGAAAGTGGGGTCTTTGCTATGTAACAGACCATTTTCCTATCCTTTCCTTTCCTATCCTAGCCTATCCTATCCTATCCTGGTTAATGACCCATCTTGACATGATAATATTAGAATGAACTATACAAAATTGCCCTTTCTGTGGATCAAAAATGACCCAATATTGGCAATTATGTATGGCTCCTTCTAATACTATGAACAATGACAATAATATTTACTGAGTGCTATGTTCTAGCACTTACCATAAACTATTCCAATGAATTTTCACACCTGTCCTATGACACAGGGACTCCTAGGGCCTCCATTTTACAGACAAGGAAATTGAGGCTGAGAGCTGTGAGGCCAAGTATCCAATGTGCAGGGGTTAGGAGGGAACTTCAGGTTGGCCAGACTCTAATACCTGGGTACTAAGCAATGAATGGTCTGGGTTCCTTCCATCAAAGCTGAGAAAAATCAAACTCTCGGGTGCCTGGGGCAGAGGAGATGGGAGAGCAGAAGGGACCCAGCCACAGTCCTGTGGGCTCACGGCAGCAGCTCTGGATTTGCACTTAGCTCTGGCCAACCTGTTAATCCCCATGACCTTGGCCAGGTGTCTTTACCTTTCTGGGCCTCGGTGCCCTCATCCTTATAATGGAGATAAAAAGAGTCTGACCTGGCCTGGCTGATGGAAGGGTTCAAAGCTGCTCCCATCAGGGGAGCAGTACCTGTCCGTATCCCAAGTCGAGGCCTTCCCCTCCCCTACTGGGGCTGTGTGGCAACAGGTGGCCCTGAGCCTAGGGCGGGGCGCCAGAAGCTGGGGAGCCAGGTCCAGTAGGTCGCACTTTGGGGGGTCGAACCGCACTTGGGGGGCGGGGACCGTGGCTCACCTGGGGGGTGGAGATCAGGTTCCCTGAGGGGTGGGGACGGTTCCTTCGGCGGGGCCGCGGGGTACAGACTCACCTGGCGGGCGGCGGCGGCGCCTCGGCCCGGGGGTCCCGGGGTTCCCTTCCTCTTGTGCATCTTCCAGGCTAGATGCCCAGACCACGGCCCCCTCGCCTGGCCTTGCCCTGCCTCCTCCCCCGGGGCCTATGGCCGCGCACGCGCCCTTCCAGAGCCCGGCGCCCCTCGCCGGCGCCCCGCGACCGCCGACCCAGCGTCCTCGGTCCCCGGGGTGGCCACCCTACTTCCGCCTCGTCCCTTGGGCACCGCGGCACCGGAGCGCGGCCACTGGACTTGCGGGGCCCGCCGCATTGAAACTACAACTCCCGAAAGTCAGTGCGTAAGCGCGCGTGCGCGTTGCGGGGCGGTGGGTGGTGCCACGAGTGGTCCGGGAAAGAGGCGGGGCGTGAGTGGGTGTGAGCGGCCGAAGCTGGCGCCGCGCATGCGCGGGACTGGGCCCAGCAGTGCGCGGGAAAGAGGTAGAGCGCGTTCAGGCGTGAGGGTGGCGGTGGCCGCAGGGTTCACTTCGCCCCGCGCGGCGGTCTGGGTCTGGGCGTTCCTCACATTTCGGTGGCCGCGGTAGGGTTAGTGTGGGCCTAGTTGCCAGAAGCCATTCCACAAGCCTCGGGCCTCAGGCCTCCTGGCCCTTCAGCTCCAGACCCTCCCGGAGGGCTGCCCGGCCTCTGAGAGGGACCAGATTATCTTTTATTTTCTCCAGAATATTTCACGCATATAACATAACCTAGGTGTCCCCCACCCGCTCCAGGCAGACCTTCCCAGTTCCTGATAAGGACAGAGGTTTCTCAACAACTTCTCTGGCTCAGGTCAGTTTGGGCTCGTCCGGCACCCGAGGGAGGAAGGAATTGCCCTGTAGTCGCTCCTGTCCCCTCAAGGCCCAGGCGCCCCCCCCCCAAGGCCCCACGTCCAGCCCTTGGAGCGCCCCGGAAAGCCCCTCTGAAGTCACCTGGTGACTCTGAAGGACTCCCAGGGTCCCCCCCAAAGCCCTCGCGTGTCTCTAGATTCTAAATACGGCCCTTTAAATACAGTTCCCCATGTTGTGACCCAACCATAAAATCATTTTCGTTGCTACTTCATAACTGTAATGTTGCTGCTCTTATGAAGCGTAATGTAAATATCTGATATGCAGGATGGTCTTAGGCGACCCCTGTGAACGGGTCGTTCGACCGCCAAAGGGGTCGCGACCCACAGGTTGAGAACCGCTGCTGTAGAAGGTTCAGGAGACACGGAGGAGCGGCACTCAGGCTGCCCGAGACTTCCCTTCCCACTGAGGCCGCCCCTCCGGGTCCCTCCCGGCGCGCCCGACCCTGGGCAGCCTGGCAGCTCCCTCGGTGCCCTCCGCAGCCGGAGGAGGTTTGAGCTCCTCCCCAGCCAGGCCTGGCCCGGGGCTGCTGCGACTCCCACCTGCGTCCTCTGGGGCCCAACTGACCCCTCAGGGCAGGCGGCCCGCGGGCCAAGATGGGGGATGGGGTGGCTTCTCCCCTCAGCCCATGGCCCTGGGTCTGCATCGGGGGCAGGGACTGCTTGTAACGATGGAATTCTGCTCATTTTCAGGTTTCTCAGGGAGGGATAACATGAGTAAGCGGAAGAAGCTGCGGACCCCAGGTATCTGGATATTCAAGTTGATCTCTTTATGGCCGTTTCTGCTCTTCGTAGGAATTTGGGCTTATTAATTGCGGAAATGCTAAAGTGACCACACCAAGCTCCTTTAAAAAAAATAATTTAATACCTGCTGGTAAAAAAAAAGTATAAATGATGGAAGAGTGCATCCAGTGGAAAGTGGAAGCTTTGTGGCCTTCCTCCAGCCTCTGGCGGGTTCTACAGCCGGGAGGGGGGGGCAGGGCCCCCGGCTTTGTGGCAGGGGTGCAACCCCCATGCAAGCCCACGCCAGAGACTGTTCCTGAACGGAGCGTGAGCGTGGCGTGTTGCAAGGCCCTCTGGTGTGTGGCTACGTGCTTCACAGACCAAAAACCTGCGTTCCGCCCGCTCTGCTGCTCCGTGCGGGGCAGGTGACGTGCTGCATGCCTCACTTTCCCCCTTCTGCAAACAGGGGGTCATAGAGCGCCTCTCCTCTTCTTTAGAACAGTGATTCTCAGCCTGGTGGGGGGAGGCATTTGCCCTGCAGAGGAAGTTGGCGATGTCTAGAGACACTTTGGGTTTCACAGTTGGTGTGTGTGGGAGGGGTGGTCCTGGCATTTAGTGGGTCTAGGCCAGGATGCTGCTCAAAGTCATAGGATGTGCACGACAGCCCCCACAACACAGAGCGATCCAACCTCAGATGTCAGTGGTGCTAAGGTAGAGAACCGTGCCCGAGAGCTCAGATGTGGATTAGTAGTTGTTGTTTTGTTTTGTTATCCTTACAAAATATCCTTAGGATATTTTTTCCCATTGATTTTTAGAGAGAGTGGAAGGGAGTGAGCAGAGGGAGGGGGGAGAAACATTGATGTGAGAGGGGCACATGGATTGGTTGCCTCCCACACCTGCCCGGGACTGGGCTGGGTATCAAACCTGCAACCCAAGTACTGTCCTTGACCAGGAATTGAACCTACCACCCTTCAGTGCCAGGGCCGATGCTCTATCCACCGAGCCACACCGGCCAGGGCTGGATTAGTGTTTGTAATGCACCAAGAAGAGACCCTAGGTAGTACGCAAATATATGCTACTATTATGATTGTCCTTCCAGACTTTATTCCCCTATGTTAACATCCAGCAAAACCACAGGCCAAGGATCAATCATATAGTACAGCATTTAAAAAACAAACAAAAATAAAAATAAAAATAGGAAATGTCCTGGCCAGGTAACTCAGTTGATAGGAGTATTGTCCCCTACACCAAAAAGTTGAGGGTTCAAATCCTGGTTGTGGTTTGATCCCCAGATCAAACTGGGCTGGTACAAGAGGCAACCAATGTTTCTCTATCTCTCTTTCTCTCTCCCCCTCCCCCTTCCTCTCTCTCTAAAAATCAAAAACATATATCCTTAGGTGAGGATTTTAAAAAAACAACAAACAGGCCCTAGCCGGTTTTACTCAGTAGATAGAGCATCAGCCTGCGGACTGAAGGGTCCCCGGTTCAATTCCAGTCAAGGGCACATGCCCAGGTTGTGGGCTCGATCCCCACTGTGGAGCGTGCAGAAGGCAGCTAATCAATGATTCTCTCTCATCATTGATGTTTCTGTCTCTCCCTCTCCCTTCCTCTCTGAAATCAATAAAAATTTAAAACATTAAAAAAGTAAAAAAAAACAAAACAAAACAGGAACTGAACCTGAGTACACTACTTCTTCCAAACTTTTCCTTCACATACAAAAATATAGTGTTTTTATTGGGAAACTAGAGGCCCGGTGCACGGATTTGTGCACATTGAAAGGAAATTAGTTAGAAGAAATATTTTAGAGGCTAGAGAGGAACCACGGGAGGGCTCCAAGGCATGTCCAGCCCATCTTGCCCAGTCCTGATCAACTGGACCCCAGCAGCAAGCTAACCTACCTATCGGAGTGTCTGCCCCCGGTGGTCAGTGCATGTCATAGTGACTGGTAGAACAGTCGAATGATCGGACACTTAAAATATTAGGCTTTTATATATATAGATAGCGTCATCACACATTGATATGCAACCTTTTTAAAAATATATATTTTATTGATTTTTTAACAGAGAGGAAGGGAGAGGAATAGAGAGTTAGAAACATCGATGAGAGAAAAACATTGATCAGCTGCCTCCTGCACACCCCCAACTGGGGATGTGCCTGCAACCAAGGTACATGCCCTTGACCGTAATCGAACCTGGGACCCTTCAGTCCGCAGGCCGATGCTCTATCCACTGAGCCAAACCAGTTAGGGCCAACCTTTGTTTTTTACTTCATGGTATATTGGGACCATCTTCACTTGTCCATATACATATAAAATTTCCTCATTAAACACAAGTATTACATAGCATAGTTTGATTTCGCTGTCTATTGTCTAAGGTAACTCAAATTTCTTAAAAGTTTAACAATAACTTCTTTACTTAGTGCTTAATGAAGTTAGGGAGTAACATTCATTTTTTTTCCCCTCAAAATGTGGGACCAAAAATAAATTATCAACAGATTGAAATATTTTGTGTAGAGATGAGCAATAGGCTGCTTGGGACATGAGAATTTCTCTGACCTCAGAGGGGGAAGCTGGGGACAGCCAAGCCCACCCACAGCAAGTCATTTGGGGCCTCTCTTGGCTGTGGACCCCCAGCTCATTGAACCCCGGGGTTGGCCCAGCTGTTTCTGTATGCCTTGGATGGGGTGGGGAGAGAGGAAGACAATTCTGGCAGATGGTGAAAGAAGCCCTTTCCCTTCCAACATCTTTTTGGCCTTTGGTGTTGAAAACAAGGTTCTGCCTTAGTTTTTTCTTATATTAGTCCTGTGGGAACAGATCACAGGAAGGAAATGAGAGGCTCTTCACTTCTGTTGATATTTTTGCTTCTTATTTGGTATAAATGTCCATTAGATTAGCAAAGAAAGCTAGTGTTTGGGCATCTTAAAAAAACCAAATAAATGAAGCTGCTGTATTTTGTGTTTTCTGGCAGACCACAAGGTAGGAATATGTTTGTGTAAGAAACTCATTGGAGCGTTGCTCTGGGTGCAGCATTGGGGTGGGCACCTGAGAAGAGGCAGATCAAGCACGAGATCAAAAGGTACAGCAGACTTAGTGCCTCCCCTCCACACCTTCAAGGTCAAGTCAAGAAAAAAAAAGAAAAATGCTTCTCATGGAGAGAGCTAATCAAATACACAGCAGTGGGTTATAGTTCTGAATGGGCACACACGAACCATAACAGAATTAGAAGAAATTATAGGAAAGTTCTGTGGTCTAGTGGAGTGCACACAGTTGAGTGAATGCTGAGGTGGACCCTAGCAATTGGCATTGGGAGAAAGGGGTGCTTATTCAATGCGTTTATGTCAGTGGGTGTAAGGAGCTGAGGTTGGAAAGGGTCTACGTGACTGAACTCCAGGAAGATCAGGCCTATGTCTGGTTTGTCCTTTTGTCTTCACTGCCTGGTCAGAAGCACGGTACATAGTAGTCACTCAGTAAATGCCGAAGTACACTTAAGTGTGCAGACTTTGGAGTTGGATGCCTGGATCCTGTTCTGGATTCCTTGGCCTTCTGTACCTGTGCTTTCTCATGTGTAAAATGGGCATAACAACAGGACCCTACCTTGAAGTTTTATCATAACACACCCAAGTTCTTAGGACAGTGTCTGGCCTGGAGCTCACCAGAGTCAACCCTTATTATTTGTTCATTAAATAAATGGTTCAGTTTGGCCCAGATTTGGGGACGTTTCACAAACCAGCAACAATTGGAAATTTATGTGTAAGGGAGTTTCCTTTATCCAACAAAGAGATAAATACCTTTAGGCCCTAACCGGTTTAGCTCAGTGGATAGAACATTGTCCCGTGGACTGAAGGGTCCCAGTTTCGATTCCAGTCAAGGGCATGTACCTTGATTGTGGGCTCAATCCCCAGTAAGGGGCGTGCAGGAGGCAGCTAATCGATGTTTCTGTCTCATCAATGTTTCTCTCTATCCCTCTCCCTTCCTCTCTGTGAAAATTAATAAAATCTATATATTTTTAAAAGTACCTTTAGGCTCTAAATTGCTCTCAGTGATGGAGAAGGTATTGCAGAGATACAAGGAAATAAGTGGCAGCTGAGACATCAGTTCCTTAGCACTTAATCACTCTGGGTCCAAGTTTTCCCAGGGTGGATATTTTCAGGCATCACAGAAAACTAGAGTGGTACACCATGTAGTTGTATCTGCATTTCCTGGGAAGTGATGTGTATTTCCTACATGTTTATTCAATCATCTACCAAGTATTTATTGATCACTGATGGTGAACTAGATGCTCTTCTGGGCACTTGAGACTCAGCAGAGAGTGAGATAGACAAGGCCACTCCTTGCATGGAGCAAGTTGTAGTGGGCAAGACAGAAAGGACCCAGTACATTGATTCTTGCAGAAAAGCTTTGAAGTCAACAAAAACAGCATGGGCCTGACAGGGAATGCTCTATAGAAAAGTTAGAGAATGGCCCCTCTGCAGGGATGTTTGAGCTGAGACCAAAGGAGCCAGTACACACCTCTCACCACTTCCCCAGAAAAGCAGTCAGCTGGGTTTTGTCTTCTGTGGTTTAGAGCCAAATCAGGCCAACTCAGGATTCAGCCTCAATCATGACCAGTCCACAGGTAAAAAGCTTTGGAGTCCTGTAGCCACATAAGCTCCTAGGTCCCACCTGGATAAGGTTCCGTCCCATCTCTCGCTTTCCAGGCAAGTGTCAGAGCAGTGGTTTCCTGCCCTTGGAACAAGCCTGCTCACACTGCAGCAGTGGCCCTGCCAGGTTTGGTTGTCAGCCATGGAAGTGCGTGCTCCTGGCATCCTCTACCCCATTGTCTTCCTTTTCTCTAAACCAGGAGAAGGAATTCGTCCACCAAAACCCCCAAAGCACCCAAGGCTCGGAGACCCTGACGGGGATCCTCAGAGTTTCCAGTTTGGCCCTTTGGGTCACCCTGAAGAGTCAAAAGGCAGTTCAGGACCTGTTCCCTCTACAGAGCAGAGTGGGGAGGAATCAGGACATGAGGCCTCCAGGTAGGTGGCTCAGAACAGACTCCTACTATCAGTATCTAGACTTACTCTGTCTCTGGAACCTCTGCTGGCACAATTCAAGCCCATTAGCATATCTTCATGCTTCTTCCTGTTCCACTTCCAAAGTTGAAATCATATGAAATTTTGGTTCCAGATTTTGGTCTTTTTTAAAAAAAGTATACATGTATATCGCCACAATTATTATAATACTAAAGGCCCGGTACACGAAATTTTGTGCACTGTGGGGTTCCCTCAGCCCAGTCTGAGCCCTCTCGCAGTCCGGGACCCCTCGCTCCTTACCGCCCACCTACAGTGGAACTGGGAGAGGCTCCCACCACCACCACCACTGCACTTGCCAGCTGTGAGCTGCTGCACTCTCCAGCTGTGAGCCTGGCTTCTGGCTGAGCGGCGCTCCCCCAGGCACTGACCACCAGGGGGAAGCTCCTGCGTTGAGCATCTGCCCCCTGGTGGTCAGTGCTCATCATAGTGACTGGTCATTCCACTGTTCTGTCGATTTGCATATTAAGGTTTTATTATATAGGATAAACATAGTCTCACCAATGTTTTTTAAAAGATTTTATTTTTAGCCCTGGCCGGGTGGCTCAGTTGATTGGAGCATCGTCCCATATGCCAACAAAGGTTGCAGGTTTGATTCCTGGTCAGAGCACATACCTAGGCTGCAGGTTCAATCCTGTCAGGGCATGTATGGGAGGCAACCGATTGATATTTCTCTCTCTCTCTCTCTCTCTCTCTCTCTCTCTCTCAGGGCATGTATGGGAGGCAACCGATTGATATTTCTCTCTCTCTCTCTCTCTCTCTCTCTGTCAAATCAATAAAAAAAACATATCCTCAGATGAGAATGTAAACAAAAAAATTTCAGAGCACTTTGGTTTACAAAGATTTGAGAGGAAGACAGAAATTCCTCACATACCCCTTGCCTCACACATGCATAGCCTCCCCCATTATCACCATCACTCACCAGAATGGTACTTTTTTATTTTTTTAACCAAAGATGAACCTACACTGACATATCATCAACCAAAGTCTATAGTTTACCTTAGTGTTCACTCTTGGTATACATCCTATGGGTTTGGACAAATGTATAAAGACATGTATCTACCACTATAGTATCATACAGAGTATTTTCACTGCCCTAAAAATCCCCTGTGCTCTGAGAGACTGTTCATCTCTCCCCCTGATCCTGGCAACCACTGGTCTTTTTTTAATATATATAATTTATTTTTATTGATTTCAGAGAGAAAAGGAGAGGGAGAGAGAGAGAAAAACGTCAATGATGAGAGAGAGTCATGGGTCAGCTGTCTCCTGCACGCCCCCTACTGGGGATCGAGCCCGCAACCTGGGCATATGCCCTTGACCAGAATTGAACCCGGTACCCTTCAGTCCACAGGCCTACGCGCTATCCACTGAGCAAAACCAGCTAGGGCACCACTGGTCTTTTTACTTCTCCATAGTTTGCCTTTTACAGAATTTCATGTAGTTGGAATCATATAATATGTGGCCTTTCAAATTGGCTTCTTTCACTTAGTAATGTGCATTTAAGTTTCCTCTATGTCTTTTCATGGCTTGATAGCTCATTTATTTTATTTATTTTATCCTCACCAGAGGATATGTTTGTTGATTTGAGAGAGAGAGGAAGGGAGAGAGAGAAACATTGATTGGTTGCCTCCCGTACATGCCCCTACTGGGGATCAAACCTGTAACCCAGATATGTGCCAGATTTGGGAATCGAACCCAAAACCTTTTGGTGCATAGGACGACACTCCAACCAACTGACCCACTTGGCCAGGGCTCAGTTCTTTTTAGTGCTGAATAATATTCCATTTTCTGGTTGTACCATTTCATTTACGCACTGGAGGCCATTACGTTTTGGCAATTATGAATACTCCTGTTTCTTTTGACACTGTGTTTCTCATATCTACAAATTCCCTTAGAATTTGCAGAGTTGGAGGCAGGAGTGTCAGTGCAAATGAGAATTCCTGGTCTTACCTGAGGAGCCGATTCCTGGGATTATAAGGGTGAAGTGCTGCCACAGCTGGCAGCTTCGATTCTAGATGTGGGACTCCGCACCCTTCTTAGAGTCAAATGTTCCCCAGCTCACTGCTCCCCTCCATCCCACCCTCTCTCAGCAAGAAGGTGCTCCAGGACCTCCCTTCTGGGAGACTCTGAGCACTGCTTTGCCCTCGGACTTCATTCTCTGTCCCACTAGATGCACTGAAAGCCTTGGGTGATTTCAGAACCTCTTGTTTTGTCTTTCTCCACCCAGCTCTCCGGACAAGGAAGCTGGAGCTCCTTCCAGGAGCCTCTCGCAACCAGAAAAGGAGCCAATCCCCTTTCCTCCTTCCCAGGTGAGCCTGTGTTGTAGCTTCCCCTGTGAGCAGAAAGCAGCCGCCTCCCTTAGGCTGAGCTCCTGCCTCTGTTCATCCTCGTGGCCAATGGGCTGGTTTGCCCTGGGGGTAGAGGGCACAGGCCATGTTTGAGACAAGAAGGAAACCGGTTTTGGTATTTGTTTGTTTTCTTTCTTAGACCTCATTCCTCCCTTATATTTATTGCTGCTTTGTTCTTGTTGTATCTGGTTCACAGAACTCAGACAGGAGGTTTGTCCCACAGTTTGCAAAACCCAGGAAGGCAGTGACAAGACTAGCTGCTACGAGGGAAGAGGACCTCGGGAGTGGGGCCTTTAGCTTGGTAAGACCCTAAAATCAGCAGGCTGAGCCCCATAGATGGGCAGCTTCTTGGCCAAGCCTTGGCAGCTGAGTTTAACCTTGATTTTTTGTGTTGTTTTTTTTTGGCAATGGCTAGATCTGCACCTCTCCACACCCCATTTTCAGCACATTGCACTACCGATGTCTCTGGACTGCAGGTGCTATGCAGGCAGCTCCCAGGCCTGTGAGAGGCACTCAGGACAGCTGTGCCCATATCAGAGTGCTGGAGGCAAGAGCCCTCTTGCCCACATTGCGTGAAAATTAGAAAACTCAGAAAGGCAACCCTGACCAGTTGCTGCTCAGTTGGTTGGAGTGTCATCCCAAACACCAAAAGATTGCAGGTTCAATTCCCAGTCAGGGCACATACCTAGTTTGTGGGTTCATCCCCTATCAGGGTGCATGCCATGCAGAAAGCAACTGATCATGTTTCCTCTCTTTCTCTCTCTCTCCCTCCCTCCCTCCTTCCCTCCCTCCCTCCCTCCCTCTCTAAAAATCAATAAAAACATATCCTCCAGTGAGGATTAAAAAAGAAAACTCAGAAAGGCAGCCCATGTTCTGTCCCTGAACCCCTTTGCTTCTCAGTAGCTTTTGGGCAAGTTGGGGCTGTGGGGGGTCTCACAGTGTGCTCTCTTATCCTTGCCACTGTGAGCTCCAGCGCTGACACTGTCTGGTAACACAGGCCCCAGAACAAGTGAGTGGTGGGAATGCCAGCAACTGCGTTTGTAATCAGCCTTAGTTGGGAACACCCTTGATATCTTTCAACTGGTGAATGGTTGAACAAACCATGGTCTGTCTACACCGTGAACACAACTCAGCAATAAAAAAAGGAGCAAAGTAGTGACACAGGCAACCACATGGATGGATCTGCAGAGCATTACATGGAGTAGGAATAGCCAGTCCCAAAAGGTTATTTGCTATAGGGTTCCATTTACAGAACATTATTGAAATGACAAAGATCATAGACATGTAGGGTGGACTAGAGGTTGCCAGCAGTTGGATACGAGGCAGGGGGAGGGGCGGGGAGGTCACAACATGGGAGAGAGGTGAGTGTGGCTGCAAATGGCAGTACCAGGAATCTTTGTTTTGCAACTTTTCAATATCTTAACTCTCGGAGTGGATACACAGCCTCCACCAGTGAGAGAACCGTATAGAACTTAATACACATACTCGAATGGGAGAGCCGAATAAGGTGGGGGACTTGATCAATTTCAACACCCTGGTTGTGATACTGTACTTTGGTTATATAAGATGTTACCATTGGGCAAACCAGGTGAGGAGCACAAAGGATCTTTTCACATTATTTCTCACAACTGCACAAGAATTTGCAATGATCTTACAAAAAGTTTAATTTAAAAAAAAGTAGGGGTGATAGCTTTGCTGTTGATGCTGAAAAGGCTGTATGTAACTCAGCGGTCTGGTGGCCGGTGGCTTCATTGAAGCCCTATAGACATGCTGTGACCTTCAGTGGTCTGACATTTGCAATGCAGACCCTCTCCTAGAAATATTTGCCCTACTGTGCAGGAAGGTTATTGAGAAGGTGTCTCCCCCCCAGCACTGATAACTACAAAAGAAGTGGGGGAGCAGCTGCTCTCTGTAGGCATCCTGGATGCAAACCTCAGTCCCTAGGTATTGAATTTATTTGCAGTTCAATTTGAAGGGAGAGATGATGGCATGGGGGTGAAAGGAAGGGAGATACTGGGTTGACTCCATTGTTAGGGGCTGAATAGCTTGAAGGATGGAGTTGCTGCTAGTTGAGACAGGGAGACTCTGAGGGGATGCTCAGGAGCTGGTGTTGGTTGTGTCACATCGGAGGTGACCAGGAAATGCCAGGTGGGAATGTTAGATACATGCATCTATAGTCAGGGGCGATCTGGGCTGCAGTGACTCCACAGGTTTAGGCTTGAGCACCTAGAAGGATCGAGCTGCCATCTACCTAAGGATGGTACTCCATCTATGTCCCAGCTGGAACCATACTCTCTCTGAGCCTGCTCTGGTCATCTCCCACCTTTTAAACAGTTTATCTTGAAATAATTAGAGATTTATAGGAAGTTTCAAAAAACAGTATGGACCCATTGATGGATGAATGAATGGGATAAACAGAATGTTGCATATCCACTCAATGGAATATTATTCACCCTTACAAAGGAAGGATATACTGCTGCATGCTACAACACAGATGAACCTGGGGACATTATGCTAACAAAATAAGCCAGTCACAAAGCAACAAATGTCATACAATTCCCCTTACATAAGGTCCCTAGATTAGTCAAACTTCTAACGACAGTAGTGTGGAGGTCATGAGGGGCTGGAGAGAGGGGGGATGGGGACTTAATGTTTAATGGGGATAGAGCTTCAGTTGTACAAGGTGAAGAGTTCTGGGGATGGGTGATGATGATGGTTGCATGCGAGTGTGAATTTACTTAATGCCACTGAACTGTGCACTTAAAAATGGTTAAGATAGTGCCCTAGCTGGTTTTGCTCAGTGACTAGAGCATTGACCCACTGACTGAAGGGTCCTGGGTTCGATTCCGGTCAAGGGCACATACCTCAGTTGCAGGCTTGATCCCCAGCCCTGATCGGGGCTCATGTGGGAGGCAACCAATTGATATGTCTCTAATATTGATGTTTCTCTCTCTCTGTCTCTCCCCCTCTCTTCCACTCTCTAAAAATCAATGGAAAAATATCCTCAGGTGATGATCAACAACAACAAAACACGGTTAAGATGGTGAATCTTACATTGTGTGCATCATACCACAATTTAACAACAAAACAGCACAGAGAAGTCCTGTATTTCCTCCCCTAGTTTCCCAAGTGGTGACTCTTACATAAGTATGGTTCATCTCCAGTCCAGGCAATTGACATTAGTGTCATCCACAGACCTCCTTGAGTTTTACTAGTATGTCCTTGATCTCCACATGCCTGGTGGGGAGAAGGGAATGTGGGAAGGAAGGATTCCTGGGCTTCCGGTTACCCTCCAGCCTCTGGCACAAAGCTCTGCCGTGTACTAGTAAGTAGTCCCCCCTTTTCCGTGCCTTCACTGTCCATGGTTTTAGTTAACCTGTGGTCAACCACTTCCAAAAAAATATTAAATAGAAAATCCAGAAATAAACAATTCATAAGTTTTAAATTGCATGCCGTCCTGAGTAATGTGATGAAATCTCACACCGTCCTGCCTGGGACATGAATCATCCCTTTGTCCAGTGGCTCCACCCTGCATATGCTCCCTTCCCATGAGTCACTCAGTAGCTGTTTGGGTTATCAGATTGACTGCTGTGGTATCACAGTGTTTGTATTTAAGTAACCTTTATTTTACTCAGTAATGGCCTCAAAGCCATTCATATAACTTTTATTACAGTATACTGTTATAATTGTCCTATTTTATCATTAATTATTGTTGTTAATCTCTTATGGTGCCTAATTTAAAATATAACTTTATCATAGGCATGTATTTATAGGAAAAAACATAGTATCTACAGGGTTCAGTACTATCTGCAGTTTCAGGCATCCACTGGGGGTCTTGGAACGCATCCCCCATGGATAAGAGGGAATTACTGTACTGATCCCTTCAGTGGTCTGCACAGCGTCTGAGACTTTGTACAGGGGCAGTAACAACTAGAAAAATCTTCAGAGTGGTTGGTTATTGAAGGCCTGAGGCTGAGTCTTTCTCTCTACACAGGAGACACCACCAGAGCCCAGTGCCCAGCAGGCAGGAAGCCAGTCATGGCAGGAGTCCCCAGAGCTCACTATCTTGGAGGCCTGGGAGCCAGGAGACCAGACGCAAACAGATGGCACCCACTCCGAGCACAGTGTCCAAAACGCTGTAACACCTGTGTCCAGCAGGGGGGATTCTCAGCCTGAGGTCTCCAATGACATTTCTTCAGAATGGGGGATGGTGCCCTTGGTTTCAGAGAGTGCCAGCCAGGACTGTCTATTGAAACAAGGGACCAATTTGCCAGATGCTGGAAGCACAGAGGGGGGTAGGATTCCAGGTGATCTCAGCCAGAAAGGGCATCTGCCAAGCAGTGGTGCTGAGAAGAAGGAGCCAGACCAAGGAGTCCCACAGGAGGAAGGTGTCCAAGGGGGAACAGGGACTGACCAGGAGAAAGGAGACAGCATCCTAGGCCTGGTCACTCAGGGCTCAGAGCTTGGATCTGCAGCCCAGGCCCCACCTGACCCCCTGCAGATACTCAGCAGGGTTGGCAAGGAAGCAGGAGGGAGCTGTAGCAGCCCCAGACACTCCTCCCTTAGGATCAGTGTCATCACAGATGTGGTCACAGACCCCACCAAGTCAGAACAGAGGGCTCTGGAGTTGACGGGGCCAGATGAGAAGGCTAACACCCAGGCACCTGCCTCTCCCAGCGGGAAGGCCCCTGATGGAGGCCATAGTGGGGCCCTGCTCACAGGCCTGCCTCTCGCTGGGGAAACTACAGAAAGCAGAGGAGAGGAAGGGTGGGAGGCCGACTCCCCTGGTGATGTCTCCAGGGGCCCTGCAGCCTCCCTGGTTCTGGCTCATGAGACCCAAGAGCCCTCAGTAGGTGCTGGATGTTCCAGTCCTATAGCCTCGGAAATTGACCCAGTTGTTGGTCAGACACAGGTACCAGACCTGGATCAAGAAGGGCTGGAAGGTGTGTGTGCGCTGTCTTTGTTGTCACAGCCCTCAGGTGAAAAGGCAGCCGAATTAGGTAGCCAGAGCCATGAACAAGACTTTGGGGGGTTCAGTCCGTCCCTTGGAGCCTCTGTTCCACCATTGCACAGAGAAACAGTGGTTGGTCCTCCCCTGGATGCCAGGGCCCACCAGGGCAACCCAGATGCCCCTGCAGGCCCAGCAGGCCAGCCCAAGCATCCTGACCCTGCAGACCAGGCCGCCTTGGAACTCGACTTCCTGCCAGACAGCCAGATACAGGATGCCCTGGAAGCCCTCAACTTAGAAGCCCCACCTGAGCAGGTAAGAGCTTCCTTAAGTTACAGCCAGACCATCCCAGAACAGGTGCCAGTGTCCACAGGCTCTCGTCCAAACCACCCAATGGTGGGGGAAGATGGGGCGTGTGGTAGTCTGTTTATATGGCAGACGAGTCTAGGGGGTCTGAGTTGCAACTTCAGTGGATGTGTGGAGTCTGTGATTTTCCAGAAAGAAAGACCTGCTTTTCCATGAGGGGCCTGTGCCAAACATATGTATGGAATTTTGAGTTTATGCTGGGGGCTGCCTGCATGACAGGCAGTGGGAAAGCTGCCCAATGAGCGTCTGCCAGCCCTGGCGTTCACCTGTCAGGGAAGGTAGCAGCCTTGCTTGAGCCCCGCTCCCAGAGTAGGCTCCATGTCCCTGGCTGGTGGCACACCTGAGCCTGGCCTAAGTGCTTTGCAGTGGTGCTCTGAGAGGTAGGTGGTTCTCGGTTCTCTTTCCACACACTGGGTTGGGCACCTGCCAGAGGTGACACAGCCAGGAGGGGAGGAGCCTGGGTCTGCATCAGGATTGTCCTGATTCTACAGCTATGCCTCAGCCACCCCATCCCAGAATGTGGAGTCCAACTCCCTTTACAAATGATGGCCTTGTTTTTTCAGCTGTCCCTGTTAAGATTTTTTCCCCCCAAAATGTATTCAATACATGCTTGTCAAGAGCCTGCATGGTCCCTGCCCCCCTGAGGTTTTCAGTAGCACTGTTCCCGCCTACCTCTCCCAGAGTGAGCATTTTTAAAAAATATATATTTTTATTGACTGCAGAGAGGAAGGGAGAGGGAGGGAGAGAGAGATAGAAACATCAGTGATCAATGATAAGAGAAAATCATTGATTGGCTGCCTTCTGCACGCCCCCCACTGGGGATCGAGCCCGCCCCTGACCAGAATCGCCTCTGACCGGAATTGAACCTGGGACCCTTCAGTCCACAGGCCGACACTCTATCCACTGAGCCAAGCCAGCTAGGGCCAGAGTGAGCATTTTTTGTACCCTTTCATTTTGGAACTTAAAGAGTCTGCATGTGACACAGCTCCAAAACAAACACAGGATCTCATCGGGTGCCCAGCTGAAGAAAGCCAGCTGTTCTGAGGGCGAAGGGAGAGTGACTGGGTTGAGCATATGTGGTCTCTACTGCATTTTGGCCCTCCACAGTGCTCACCTGTGAGGTGATTGCAGACCTGGCCCTCCCTGGGCTGTCCGGGCCCTGGCTCCTCCTGCACCTGTCTCATGATCACCAGATGAGCAAGATCATGGAAAGTAGGTCACAGTGCAGAGTTAGAACACGATCTCCTGGGAACAGCTGAAATTTTAAAATTGGAGCCTTGTTTCTTGAAAAGTGCAAACTCCTCACTCGGAAGGAAATGCCGTCTAAGTTACTCCCAGTCTCTGGCCTCTTGGGCAGTGGCTAAGGGAGAAAGCTGGGGAAGCAGTTGGGACATTTGGTGGCAGCCAGCAGGCAAAAGAGTGAGCCCTCCGGACAGGCTGCCAGTGACTGCGCACTTGGGAGTCAGCAGTGGGGGGGGGGGGGGACCTGGGCAGACAGCCAGGTGGTCAGACCTGACAGGTGCTCCAGGGGAGTAGGCACTGCCTTGACAAGGCTGCCAACGCCCAGACGAGTTTCGTTTAGATATTGGGCGTTCCTGAACAAGTTGGGGTGACCCAGGCACAAGCACATTCTCATGGGAAGATTCTGATAGCCCTTGGCAGGAAGGCCAGGTGGGCAGGGACACTTAGGTGCAGCACAGATGGAGGGAGGGCAGCCTCACCAGGTATGGTGGTGGGCGCCGCATCAGGTGAAGCCACTCAGAGACTCAGAGGTTACACAGCGGTGACTGACCAGCTTCAAACCCAGGTCCCCTCACAGGAACTGGTGTTTTCTTCTCCAATAGCTCCCTTGGGACATGAACTCACCCCAGAGCTGTGGAGCCTCCGTACACCGCTGCATCAAAGGAGCATCAACGCTGAGTCCCAGGTCCCTTTCAGGGGCTTACAGCTCTGACCCTGGCATGTTCAGGAACACTTTTGTTGTGACCGACATTTACACAATCCTGGTGGGCGGGAGAATATTCCCATGGCCAGGAACAGTGCAGTGAGTTTGGTGAATATGTGGTCTTTTAAGTCAGAGTTGCCTGCATGAAATAGCCAGATGCTGGGAGACACTGTATTGTCTACAGCAGAGACCCCAGCTGGCACTGCTGGCATTCAGGGCCAGCTCGTTCTGGTGGTGGGGACTGTCCTGTGCACTGTAGCATGTTGAGTAGCATCTCTGGCCTCCACCCAGATGCCAGTAGCACCTTCTTCCCCAGTCGTGACAACCAAGAATGTCCCCAGACATTGTGAAGTGTCTCCTGGGGATGGAGTCATCCCCAGGTGAGAACCACTGGCTACAGGCAGTTTTTCAGGTACTTCTTTGCTAGTGTAGCTCAACCCTTCACCCTGTCCCCACCCCATCAGGGGAGAGGATGTCCCTAGAACAGGCCCCTTTCCAACCCCAAGACTTCGGTCTCCTTAAGAGGCTCTAGCCCTAACTGGTTTGGCTCAGCGGATAGAGCATCGGCCTGCGGACTCAAGGGTCCCAGGTTCGATTCCGGTCAAGGGCATGTACCTTGGTTGTGGGCACATCCCCAGTAGGGGGTGTGCAAGAGGCAGCTGATCCATGTTTCTAACTCTATCCCTCTCCCCTCTTCTCTGTAAAAAATCAATAAAATATATTTAAAAAAAAAAAAAGAGGCTCTGGGCTAGCTGCTGCCCCCACCCCCACCCCCGGCCTCTTTCCTCTTTCCATGGGACACATGTCACCCCGTGATTGAGCCTGACATCTTCCACAAAAATTAAACTACTGTCGACATTTAGAGACTTAAGCTTCTCCCGGTTATTTGGCTCTCTCCCCTATTAATTATGAATTTTTCCTTTGCAATAGATTTGCAAGATCTTTTCCTGACTTAAAATGTGTGGCTTATCTGGCTGACCTCTTCCCCTCGACACTGATGCCCACCTTGCTACAGTCACTGCACCGAGGGGTCCTCTCTGTGCCTTTCTTGATACTGCAGGATGCACAGAGAATGTGTGGATGGAGCCCCCAGGCATAGGGCAGCTTGTTGGAAGGTGCAGGCCCAGGAGAGGACAGCAGGGTCAGGCCCCGTGGTTCCCTGTCTGCTCTCTTTCTGAGGGGTGATGGCAAGAGCAGCCCAGCTGGTGGCCCCCAGGTTTAACCACTTTTCCTCCAGGAGTTCCAGCCTCGATGTTCCTGCCGTGGCCCAGGGGCACAGACATTTCCTGTGTGACCTTCCTTTCCTTTCCTGTGCAGGGTAACTGTTCACACGTGTGCTCTCTTTCCAGTTTCCTGCAGGGAGCGGGGTGGGCCCTTGCTGGCCTGGCACCAGCCTGAGTACTGAAGGAGGCCCCCTCATCGAGTCTCAGCCAAGGTAGGCCCGGTGGGAGGCCACCCCAGGACCCTCATCTAGGGGGTCTTCCCTTTAGAGAGGGAGTGTCACTGCCTTCCTGGCACTGAGCTGCCATGATCTCCACCCCCCGCCCCAGCCCTGCGAGCTCCCATTTTGCTGATGAGGGGGCCTGGCTCTCCCTCACTGGGCCTCGCTTTCCTCAATCCAGTAAGGGAGCTGAGCCCTGTCCTTCAAACTGCGTGTGTCCCCGGCTCCCCGCAGCCATCTGCACCCAAACAAGCATCTCTCCCCGGACCCCTGGTGGTGCCCCTGGTTCTGTGCGTTGTTTGAATTCAGTGTGTGCATTTTTCTGGAGAAAAGGTCCAGAACTTTCCCTGAATCTCCTCAGAGTGAAACGGCTAAGAACCTTGACCAGGCCAATCTTGGGCGGTCCCAGTTCTGGCCCAGGGTGGGCCCTCCAGGGTCTGACCTGGCTTGTCTCCTCACTTCCCACTTGGCTCTGTGCCCCAGGGCAGGGCACTGGGTGCACTGTCCCTCCACCTGAGGAGTGTGCGTGTGTGGGACGAGGGTGTCCTCTCCCCTTACTCCAGGGGCTCTCACAGTCTGTCATCTCCCTCCAGTCCTTTCTCCCGGCCCTGCGGGGGAAGCACTGGGTGGCCATCCTCTCCTGTTACAGGCCTCTCTGCAGAGGCGGTGCCTTATCAATTATTTATGGCCAAGCTTCTGTTTCTGTCTAGCAAGTGTGGAGGAGGGACTAGGGGTGCAGCCCTGGGTGAGTTTTTCTTTCCCTCCTCCTCCTCCTCCTCCTCCTCCAGGGATAAGGTAGCATGTTTTTGCCTTCTTCCCTTGCATAAGCTTTGTCACTAGTACCTGTTGTACTAGTGACACACACACACACACACCCTGCACAAGTACCAGAGGCCATTCAGTCAAAATGGCCCCACCATTGTTTGAGCAAAGAGGAGGGAGAATCGTGTCTGAGTCTGATATCCTTGCTGGGTGATGTGACCCCACATGGACATCTGGAAGACCCCCAGGGCAGGGCCTGGGGTGATGGCCCATGGTGAGTAAGACACAAAAGAAGCTAAGGCCCAGGTCAGCCAGCCATCTTGGGTGACAGCAGCAGGTGGAGCAGAACAGAGATCCTGTAGTGAAAGACCAGGAGGTGCTGCCATGCCAGGGTCTGGTATGATTTGGGGAAAGCTGTTGACCGGAGGCCAGGAGGACGACCCTCTGCCAGCACCTGCAGGCCACACGTTAGATACAGTGGGTGCTGTGGCACATCCACCCCTCCCATAGAGGTTAGCGCCATCCAGTGCCGGCTCTTCCAGAAACTGTTCTGGGCACTGGGCACTGGGCAGGCAGCGTGGGACAGGACAAAACATGAAGCCACCATCTACTGCACATTGGGTGGGGCAGGCAGGGTGAGAGAGAGACAAGCAAATTAGATAAGCAGATGGCAGAGTGTTAGGGAGAAAAAGTCAGTGGGGAAGAGGTTAAAATTTTAACTCAGTGATCAGGAAAGTATTCCCCCAACCCCCCTCAAGAAGGAGACATTTGGGAGAGAACATTCCAGAGCCCTAAGAGGTGCTCAGGGAAAGGCCAGGAATTCATCTTCTGGCTGGAGGGAGGGCAGGGACGAGAGGGAGGGGATGGGGTCTGGAGGGGCCAGCAGATGGTGCAGTGACCATTTTCACAGCCCTCCACCCCATACTGCATGGGAGACAAGCTGTAGGCGTAGGAGCTGGGGGTCTGGGGAGACTGGTGGGGAGAGGTGGCTGGATTCTGGGTGTGCTTTTGGCAATCGATCCAGCTGGGTTGGCCATCAGAGCTCTGCCCGCAGTAGCTTAATATCTGGGAAAGCAGACAGCTGAAGGCCCAGCGAAAGCCCCCAGAATGGTGTTTGGTGGAGCTGCCTGCTGAGGTCAGGCCTCTTATCTTCCTTTCCCTCCAGTGCCCACAAGGGGATCAAGCCCCGTGAAGCCACCAGGATGGAGGATGCAACAGATACCATGCGCGGCCTCATTATTGAACTCTCCAACCTGAAGTAAGAGGGGTGGATAGGACAGGCAGTGGGATGGGAAAACCAGTGTGACAGCAAGAAGGAGGCCCCCTACAGCCACCCAGACCTCCCATCAAAGGGCCTCCAAAAAGTGTCACTCCTCCTGGGCTCTCACCTATTACGTCATAGATTCATCCTTTACAGACTTGTTAGGTTCTAGAGAGGGCCTGGGACAGTCAGTGGTCCACTCTGTAACAGGTTGATTCTGATTGTGCATGTGTGTCTGAGAGTGTGTGAGCCTCTGTGAGAATGTGCAAGCAGGAGTGTGGGTGTGTCCTGCTCTGCCTCATAGTCAAGCCAGCATTTTCTTGCAGCCGGCTGATCATGAATGCCCACCGGGACCTGGAAGCATTCAAGCGCCTCAACTACCGGAAGGCAAAGCCTGCAGGGAAAGCCCCCATGCCCTACACATCAAAGGGGGCTGGGGCTCTCCCTCGAGGGGAGCAACCCTGGCGGGATTTGTAGATGCTTCTGAATGGGGAAGCTGGGGGACTGTGTGCAGGGCTTACCCCTCCCATGGATGTATGTTTTGTTCAAACCCTGGCCCCAGAAGTGCCTGATGTTCCTGCCACAGAGCTGTCAACAATCCCCCTGCAGACCCCGAAAAGCCTTCAGTCCCTGATGTTGCTCCTGGTATTTTGTTACCCCTGGTACTTTGTTACCCCCAAGATGCTCCAGCGGGTCCTAGTGGGCCCCAGAAACTGCCCTTTAGCCGACCTGGAAGTCAGCCTCCCTGGGAAACCCTGGAGGCCCCACTGGAGTCCACAGCAGCCCTCTGGAGTCTGTATGGGGAGGGAACCTGCTCCCTGAGAGGCTGAGGCTGCAGGGGGAAGTGGAGGCGGGCTGGGGCCCCAGGAGCAGGGCCCAGAGCCACCCAGATGTTTATCTGGGTTTGCAAATTTTGGCTCCTTAGCTGAGGTTATGGCAGGTTCAGAATTTGTTTCTTTCCTGGAGGAAAAAGGGCCCCCTTTGTTGGTTGTGCGTTTGTCTCTCTCTGGCTTTCCATTTTATTTATTTTGGGAAGAGCACTAATAAATGATTCCCTAGCAAGGCCCCGGACCTGCTGTTTGAAGGTTGAAGCCTTTGGGTTCCTTGATACTCGGCCCACAAACCTAACTGCCTCTTTCTCCTTTTGCTTCTCTTCCTCCCTAGGAGGGCAAGTAGGGCTATTGCTGGGACACAGGTCAGGGTGTCCGCACGAGTTCCCAAGTGTGTGGGATTCCCTGGGAGCGGGTGGCTGTGTGGGCCCATTGAGGCACCCACACCAGCACCTGTGAGGCAGTGAGCCCACAGGACTCACCTGGAGAGGTGTTTTTTTCCAGTGCTCAGTGGCCCTGTCTGTTCTCCATGAGACAAGCTGCTTTGAAGCCCCAGACCGGAAGGAGGCAGTCCTGGGGGGTTGTTATTAAGACAGGATGTCAAGGAGGGGTCACTGCACACCTCATCCCCCACAAGCCTGACCACAGCCCCCAAGGTAGCATCAGAAGCAGCCCCACACACTGCCATCAAACCCATTTCTCAGAAAAAAAGCTATTTCTATTAAATTGGTCACCACCAGGAGGACCAGACCTGTCCCTTTATTAGTGGCTCTGCCAGTGACTCCCTCACCCAGACTCCTAGGGCCATGGCAGAGCACCCCTCCCACTGCCTACACCCTCGGAGACTATTCAGGAGGGGAGCAAGTCAGATCAGGGTCCCCTTTCACCTCTCCTTCCTTGACCCTGCCAGGACATGCCGGTTTGTCCAGTGTGTCCAAGCCCTAGGAGCTCTGCCCTTGGCAGTACGCGGCAGCTGGCAGTGCCTGGGATGTTGTGTCCCCAACTCAATTTGAAGACCCTTTGGACTGCCCTCTGTGGTGTTTTTGTCTCCATTCTCCCCCTCCACGCCTAGGCAGCAGGCTGTCTTCAAGGGCAGGCTCCCATCCCAGACTCTCCTGGGTGGCCCCAGGTCCCAGTTCAAGGGCAGAGTGGACCTGCCTCCACCCATCCCTGGGAGAAAGACCATGTGGGTTGGGGATGGGGTCAGCATCCTGACTTAGGGAAATGTGGATGGACACTTGCCACCTGCCAGGGAAACAACCTCCGGTGATGGAGGAGACAGTCAGGGGTAGGTGTTCCTCTGAGCACAGCCCCTTCCCAGGAGAGCTGGGTCACAGTCCCTGGGTGGGGAGGGCTCTGTATCTCCTGCTCTTGCCCAAGCAGATCCAGATTACCTCCTAGTACCCCTGGGCAAGGCCTCAACTAGCTGACCCCCCCAGAGCATAGTCAACATAGTCCCATTCTTGCCCCCACCCAGAAGGGCTTGGTATATTGACTCCATGGCCCAAGTCACGGGGGCATTGTGGTGTGATGGAAAACATTCACTGAGGGCCTCCTTGGCGAGGACAATGGGGGTGAGGGAGGCTTGGTCTAATTGTCCATTTCTACCCCCATAGCAGGCCCTCACCCCCAGCGTGTGAGATTCCACCTATTTGGCATGTCAATATGTTATGGGTGGCTGAAAGGGCATTTGAAAACATCAGAAAAAGTCCCAAATATGCCAGCAGCAGAAGTCATGCCCAGAAGTGCCAGGAAAGGAGCCACCTCTCAAAGCCCCACAGCCACCCTATGGTGCCCACTCCCATTTCTCTGCTCCCCCAGAGCCTCAGGGTGAACTGAAATCCAAATAGCAGTCGGGAAAGTGGGGATCACGGGAACATGTGCAGGCTAACAGCCAGGAGAGAAAAGAGGTGCCCCAGCCCCTCGGAAGCTGTTCCCACTAACCTGTCTCAAGACCAGCCTCATCTGACCACTGATCCATTCATAGCATTTATTGAGAGCTGACTGGGCGCCCAGGGTTGGGGAGGGAGGGCAGGTTGTCCCGGGGCCACCTCCTTCCTCACAGGGCTCTTTTGATCGTGTTTCCAGGCGCTGCTCCCTCATTCAAGGCCCAGGCTGGGGGAGGGGCTCAGGGGAGGGTCCTTGCCTGATGCATCTTCCCTGAAATCCAGCCTTCAAGGAGTCCCCAGGCTAGGAGAAGACAGCATCCCGGGCGTCCTCCCGCACCTGCCCTCTAGGTAGAATTGGAGGGGCAGCAGGAAGAGGGCGAAGGTCCCGACGACTTCCTGGCACCTTTGGAACCTGAGTTTCAAAAGCGGAGGGGGAAGGAGAAAAACAATAATAGGCGATGATTCATGTGGCCAAAGTACCAGTTCAAGGCAGTCAGGGCTCTGGCGCCACCCAGAGACTGGTTGTGGAACAGCACCCAAATCACATTCCTAGACCAAGTCAAGCCCAGATGAGACCCAGAAACGGACACAGCGCAAAAACCCCCACTCCGTCCTGCGGTGCTGCCCCCTCGTGGCCGTAGGGCCTGGGGACCCCGTATTTGTGATACCTAGAGTGTTACCAGGGAGGCCGGCGTCCCGCAGCCCTTTTGCGCCAGGGATATCTCCCTCACCCTTCACCCTGGGAGGTGAGTGTTCCTGCTCCCTCAGAATTAAGGGGGAAAAGGAAGATTCTGACACCATCATCTCATGTGTCCCCTCAGCTTCCTGCCACCAAATTGGACCTCACTGAACCGCACAGGGATACTGACTTCTGGAGGCAGGCTCGCTCTTTCAAAATGTTCACTTTGCAGCTGCGGGGACAGGCTGGGATCCTCCTTCCCGCTCACCACGCTCAAGGAGCTCAGTCTGATGGGAGGCAGTCCCCACGCACAGTACCCACATAGCGACACTGCCCATCAGAACCCCTTCCCGTGTCCTGGCCAGTGTGGCTCGGTTGGTTGGAGGGTCCCCACATACACCAAAGGGTGGTGGGTTCCATTCCTGGCTGGGGGTCCAGCCAGGTTGTGGGTTTGACCCCCAGTCGGGGTGTGTGCAGGAGGCAACCAGTCGATGTTTCTCTCTCACATTGATGTTTCTTTTTGTCTCTCTCACTCTGCCTTCCTCTCTCTAAAATCAATAATTTAAAAAAAAAGAACCCCCTCTGTTGGCTGACTACCCCAGAAAGTCGCTGAAATGGATCTGTCCTTAAAACCCCACTGGAGCTGAGGTCTTTTGCATCTATTCTGATAACTGCTGTCATTGAAGCCCAAGCTACTCAAAACCTGCATGGTCTGTGGCCTGGCAGCGTGGCCACCTCCTGGGGAGCTGCTTAGAAATGCAGCTGCTCAGGCCTCACCCAAACAAACTTGTGAAGTGAGACCCACATTTGATGAGCAAGATCAGAGTGGGGGGCCATGCAGGTGAGGAGACTGGGCTTGGACCTCGGGGAGGCTCCAGGGCAGCTTGTGCCTAAGCTACAGCTCCCTGTGCTCTACGGGGCTGCCCCCCACACAGGGAACTCCCCTCCAGCCTGACCTTTCCCTGGGCCCTGGGCCATTCCCTCTTACCTGCCTCAGACACCTCTGCCTGGAGAACCAGCCGCTTTCACCACTCTCAAATCCACCCCTAGGTCCACCTGCTTAGCCACACTCTTAACACACATACCTGGTCTTGCCACTTCTGTGGGTCCCTGCTGCCCAAGTCCAAGCTCTTTAATGTGACCCACAAGGCCCTACAGGCCCTTCGGCTTGTCCCCAAGTCTCTGACACCTCCCCCTCCACCACACAATCACACACTCCCCATCCCTAAGTTCCTGAACAAGCCCCAATGCCTGGCCACACTTCCAGCTCTCCACCAAACCGAATCAGGCTTCCTGAGGTCCCTTCCTCCAGGAAGCCCTCCTGAGTCCCCTTATCTGGATCAGGTACTTCTCTAGACTCCCCCATTCAGCGCCTATCACCCTGTGTTTTAACTGCTGCTCTCCCATCTATCTTGTTCACCACTAGCCCAGCCCAGCACTTGGCATAGAACAGGCACACAAACTATTAGCAAATGAGTAAGAAATAAGGAAGCTAGGGTTCAGAGAGTCTGAGCAACTTCTCTCAGAGCACACAGCTCCTCAGAGCCACCCACTGTCAAGCCCTTGCTGTGCCCATCCCCAGACCCCACTGCTTACTAATCCCCATGGCTTCCATGCCAGGTCGCCTGTGCCTGGGAAAGGATGGCATTTCCCCCAAGGGCCCAGAGAGGGAGAGTCCCTTTCCCAAGACTGCAGAGCAAAGTCAAGCCCCAGCTGACCCACCTGGGCAACACTTCTAGAATACTAAGGTTCCTATGCAGATTCTCTACCCCAACCCTATGAGGTGGGTACTGGGGTTAATCCCACTTAACAAAGGCATGCCCCCTTCACAGTGGATTTCCCCAGCCACCTGCGCTGGCTCCTCCTCCTCTACGGTGACTGGAGTCCTGTGTCCTCGCCTTGTCAGACCGAGCCAACTTCTTGCCTGCAGAGTTGCGGGTGGTGTAGCTGTAGACAGAGGTGTAGCCTTGGCCGGTGAGCGGGCAGAAGCGGCGGGTGTGGGCTCGATCTCTAGTGGCACCGCACTGGGGGCACACGTAGTCTCGAAGGATGGGGCACAGCACCCGGCCCGCCTCGTCCTTGAGCACGTGGGACTGGTAGATGGCCCGGGACTCGCCGTTGTGTTTGCAGAAAGAGCACAAGCGTTCTGGAGCTGGTGAGGGTTCTGGTCTGAACCTCGGATCCCCTGGTGCTGGCACTGGTTCTGGCTGGGGGTCCAGCCTGGTCTCAGGCTCTTCTTCCCCACGCAGAGCCCCCACCAGACGTGCCAAACCCAGGTAATCTGTCCACAGGTCGAAGGTCCCCATGGCTGGGCAATGTGTGCCAGGCGTTGGGGCAGAGAGAGGAGAAACCCTGCCTGCCCCAAGCTCGTCCTTCTCCACTTCCTCCCTGCCCCTCCCTTCCCCTCTCTGGAGCCTAGGAGTCTGGGCTGTCAGTTCCCTCCTCATACCTCCAAGGGATTGTGAAGGGGGAGGAATCGCCTGTGGGAGACTTCTCATTGTCACAGGGGGGCTAGCTGCTGCTCCCTGTAAATGCACCTGCCAAGATGTTTGGTCTCTGAGTGGGGCAAGGGGGATACAGGACACAGTCTGCAAGGGGCCCCTGAAATTTGGAGCCACATCCCCCCCCCGGGGGGTTTTGGGAGGGCTCCCCCAACCCCCCCTTTGAGGAGACCTCCCCCCTGCCCCCCAGGGTTTGGGGGGGGGGGGTGGGTAGTTTTGGAAGCCCCGCCCTCAAAACAAGCATTGACTTAACCTGTAACTTAGTAATTGCTTTCTTCCTTCCCCTGGGCTGGGGGAAGGGCCAGGTGCCCCTGGGCCTTTGGGGAATGGGGGGGGGGGGCAGGACGGGGGACACCTGCAGATTCTCCAGATGTCCCTGGAAGGGGGATGGTATCTGGCCCTCGGCCCCCAGCTCTGGTCTGCCTTGGGGGGTTTTCACACCTATTGTCCCCCACTTAATGGATGAACAAACTGAGGTATGAAGCCACCTGCCCTTAGGGCTATTCACAAAGACTAACACAAAAGTCTGCCTTCCCCCATCTACTTATTGGAGCCCCCAAGGCTAGGTGCTGGCCAGGCAGCCTGTTCTGTCCCTGGGGTGGTGAGGGGGTGAAATGGGGAGGTTGGGGGGAGCAGAGGCCAGGTTGGGCTAATGGGAGGACCCCCAGCACTCACCAGTCTTGATCTTCCCTCCCTCAAGTGAGAGCTCAGTCAGTCTCAGGAGGATGGAGTGTGCCCAGGAGTCAGCGGGTGGGGCACAGACATGCAGGGGGAGTGATCAGCAGCACCAAGGTGCTAGGTGGGCGATGGAGGGTGTGGGCAAGGAGGGTGAGAAAGCTGAGCCCAGGATTTGGACACCGAGAAGAGGCCCCATTCACTTATTCTTCCAAGAAGCGTCTATGGAGCCTCGGAGCAGAGCCCACCACCCCCTTCCAGAAGGATTTTTAGCTGTCCAGCCCCTCCCCCTCCAGGATTTCCTCCCCAAATCCAGCTCGTGTCCATTAGGACCCCAGACCCCAGCCCTCCCAAGTGGTGAGAGGCTGGGGTCAGGGCAAGGTCCAGGCTGAGCAATTTGGGGGGAACCCATGGTGGGTCTTGTCCCCCAGCCCACTCCCCTCAGGCTGTGTGTGGCCCAGCCACAGTGACATTCATCCCTCGGTGGGTCTGGCCTCCGTCCTCACAACCCACCGACAACAATGAATGTTGATTGTGACTTTCTCTGTGGCCTAAAGGAGGGGATGTGATCAGGTAGGACCCAGCCCCCCAGATCTGGAAGGTGGGGGGTCACGATGGCTGGACGGCACTTCCAGGCCTCGGGGTCCACTCAACGGTCGATGGTTTGCCTGAGCTGCCCAAACTCACCGACAGGTTGAATGTTCCCCCAAGCCCTTGGCAACTTCTTGGTGGTGGTGGTGGTGGTGGTGGTGGGGTGTCCCAGAGTAGAGGGTGGGGTGCAAGGAACCAGAGAGGTGAGGGAGGGAGGGACCTATTGACTCATTAAGTAAGCAAACAGTAGGTGCCAACTGTCTGTTCCATGACCTGGAAACGCATGACATTAATATAACTAGTTGTAACAGTAGATGTTTATGTAGTTTTGCTACATGGATGTGGCAATACCGGGTGCTGGGCTCCCTGCTCCATGCATGTACTCACATCATCCTCAAAGGGGCCCTAGGATGGTGCAGATGTGGCCCATTTGTCAGTGTGGAAGACTGAGGCCAGAGGGCACTACTCCTAGTGGCCCCAAGACTCGTCTGGCTGCCTTGCATGGGGAGGGAAGGAGCATCATTCAACAGAGAGATAAACAAGTCATTTTAATACAATGTATACCTTCCACAAGCCTCACTGTGTTCCTGGGCACAATTGTTTATGAATCACAACAACCCCTGGGGGTCATCATCCTTCACTTTGCAAGCCCGCCCTTTGGCCCACTTGCCCACTTGCCCACTGGACAGGGGAGAAGCGAGAGGATGTCAGGGGACGCCTGGAGCCCTCCTGCAGGGTCTCAAGGCATCTGAACTCGGGCCCTCGGTGATGTAACCGTGCAGGGTCGCTCACCCTCAAACCTCAAAATACACTGCGGGCAAACAGCTACTTGGACTCCAACTGCAGCAAGATGCTGCCCCCTCCTCATTTCCTCCCGGTAGAAAGGGCTTCCAGTCCTTCCCTCCAGGGGCCGCGCACAGTTGGGTGCCCATCCCCTCGGGTGCCCCCAGGCGTGGCGCCACCTGGGTCCACAGACTGTGAGGACGCCCTGGAGAGGTTTCTTCAAATTTCCTGTCGCCTCCCATTTCACTCAGGGGAAGGTGGTGCCCCAAGGAACCCCTTGACATATCCTAAGGAGGATCAGGACCCCGAATATGCCAAGTTTGAAGGAACCCTGAAATGTCCCTGATGTAGTTGACCTGAGCCAGCACAGCCCCTCAAACCCCTCCCTCCAGACCCCACCCAGATCCTTCCCCAGGAGACCCGCCCCCTTAAGGCCCCCACATATTGCCAGTCCCTAGGTCCCTCCTTCTAAAGCCCACCCATAGAGATTCCCATGGAGCCCCCCACCAAACTCAACCCCATAAAACCTGCCGCCTAAGCAGGTCCTCAAAGAGCCCAGCTCCCCTAAAGGCCTCCTCCCAGGCCCCGCCCTCTGAGCCTAATCCTTGTGGCACCCCCACATTTTGTCGGCCCCAGGGGGGGCCAAGGTCACAGAGGCCCGCCCCTAGGACCCTCCTCTGAAACCCTCGTGCCTAGACGCCCATGGACTGTGACCCTAGGAATCGCCAAGGCCGCCCCCTTGGAGCCCAACCCCCTTAAGTTCCGCCCCAACAGGACCTGCCCCCCAACTGAAGCCCCTCGGAGCCCGACCCCCGTAAGACTCGCCCATGAAATTTCCCCAACGCATGAAGCCCTTTCCCCTAAGCCGGGCCTCTCGTCCAGGCCGGGGTCCAGTCAAGTTCGAACCCCTGTCGGGAGCGCTAGGTGGGGGGGGCCTCCCAGGGGCCCATCCGCCCAGCCATCAGGGCCCCATTCAGGGGTGGGTGGGCCGCGGCCCGGGCTCCTCCCCTTTTCTCCTGCCTTGGGGATGGTAGTCCTAACGAGGGAATGCCTAGAACCCTTGGGGGGGGGGGAGACCCTGGAGCGTGGGTTGGGAAGAGAGATAGTAATAATAATAATAATAATAATAATAATAATAATTGTTTACATAAATCACCCTATTATTAGGATACTCATTTTACCGATGAGGAAGGTGATGCTCCGAGAGTCTGGTAACAACTGTTGAGGTTCCTCAAAAGCTTTGTTCTTGGTGACCATGAAGCTAGAATGCGAGGTCATCAGACGGGAGGCACTGACCACACTGAGGGTCCCCCTGAGACACCCTGTGCCTTCTCTCCCCTGGCTTCCCTGAGGGCACTGGTCTTTTATTTTTTAAGTAAAATTGTTGGGTTTTAAATTGATTTGAGCGAGAGCGGAAGAAACATCGATTTATTGCTCCACTTATGCATTCACTGGGTGCTTCATGTATGTGCCCTGATGGGAGATGGGACCACAGCCTTGGCTTATCAGAAGGACGCGTCTAGGGGCACTCACTGATCTTGACCTACCAAAGAGGGAGGTCCCTGCAAGGGGTTTCCCCCAAATCGGCTGGGACAGGCCGGTCCCGGCCATCAGGAAGGCGGGGCTGGCTGGTGGGCGTGGCTCCGGCCGAGGGGCGGGGCGGGAGGAGCCCGGCCGCGCCCCGTCCTGTGGGGAGGAGTTATCTGGGGCCTGCCCCGGTCGGTCTCCCTTTGTCTGCGGTGGTCTGCGAAGCTTCCCGCCCTCGCCCTCCGTGTCCGTCTGGGTCTGCCCGTGCCCCTGGCCGGCCTGTATCTGACCGGGTCTCCCGCTCTGCGAGCGCTCCTGTTCCTGGCCGCCTGGGTCCGCCTGTGCTTGTCTGGCCCTTTACACCTGATCTGTGTGTCCGCCTGCCCCCCTCAACGTCTGCGTCTCACTGTCTGGACTTGGACCTTGGGGGGTGGGCGCCGACTGTTCCTCTGCCGAGTGTCCTGAGACCTTCTGGAGGGCCCATCGGGCCTCCACCTGACTTTGAAGCCCAGCAGGGTGGGTGGAGCTGCCTCCTCCCACTCCCAGCCGTAGGCCCTGGTGCAAGGCAGGGGTGCCCTTCAGGGCCATTTTGACCCTCATTCCTCTTCTTGCTGGGACCCCCAGCCCTGCCACACCTGGCGGGGGACTGGGAATGAGTGGGGTGCGGGGAGCCTTCCAGAAGCCCCACTGGCCCAAGGCCCGCCCCCACCCCGACTCTGAGCTCCAGGAAGGCAGGGCAGCTGGTGCAGGTCTGGGGGTCAGGGTCTGAGGTGAGAGGGTGATGGATGGAGGCAGCTCTGCCATCAAGTTGAAGAAGGGGGAGTGTCTGTATGTATGTCGTGCATATGTGTCCCTGTGTGTGTCCCGGTGTGCAGTGTGCGTATGTCCTTGTGTGTGTGCATGGGCCTGTGGGGAACATGGGGGAGGAGGTAGTCAGGGCCTGGCAGACAAAGAGCCCCTTATGAGGGTACGGTGACAGCACACATGGGGGTTCCCAAGTGGGGTCCGGCTGATGGCCCAGACTGTCTAGACCGCGGGCAGGGGGCTCCTCTTTTCCCTCATAGCTGCATGGTCTCTCAGGTTCCCACTCTGCCATCGCCAGGCCAGCCCCGGCTTCCTCTGGCTGCTCAGGCCTTTTCATGCGGGGTCCTCAGACAAAGGGCTCCTCTGTCTCACCCAGACCTGGGGTGGCCAGAGGGCCAGGAGCCCAACTTCTTTCCCAAGCCCACCAGGGCTGGGGTAGGCAAGAAGCCTCTTCTCCGGGGTTAGGGCCTGGGGCCGGTTGATGGGAAATTTAGGCGCTTCTGTGACTCAGGGTGCGGGGCAGCCCTGTGTCTAGGTCAGGTGGGTTCAATCTGAAAACACAGGCAGCAGCTGCCTATGGGCCTGTTACTGGGGAGCTGCCCTGGTTTTGGGGTCCAAGCTATTCAGGTGGGCAATTCTGGATGTCTATGGGTGTCTGTAAATCCAGGTGT